GGGGGGGGGGGGGGGGGGGGATTTGAAGAGGCAGGCCACCACCTTCCCCACAAGATTGAAACCATGGCGCTGAGCTGGGAATCTTGTTGAAAATCGTCCACTCCAAGGAGGGTGTAAGGCTTTCTCCCTCTCGCATGGTAACAAAAACCCTACACCCTCGTTGGAGTGACGATTCTCAAAGATTCCCAGTCCTGTGCCACGGTCTCTAGAAGGAGGCCCCCAAACTCGAAGCAGAGAGGACCAGAACATGGAATCTAAGAGGATCCCTCAGAAGGGGGCGCTTCGTAAAACGCACTCCCAACAAAGAGAAGACTCGTGAAGTCCTGTTGGGGGGGTCCTGTAGAAATCGTAACTAGCCCTTATAGAACCCTATAGAAGACAATGATACCTGCTCTGTGTTAAGAAGTCAATTAAGAAGCCCCCACGTATGATCGAATCATAAACCCTCACGCAATCCTAAACCCTTGCAGAATCCCAAGAGCAATGCAAACAACAATGATGATGTTTTTTGCCTCGATCGGGATCCGAACAGCTGTCGGTTCAACTGCGCCGTACCTGTAGTGGCAAATATCCGAGCTGATGTTCATCGAGGTTTGATAGTGGCGGCGGAATGTGCCTGTTTATCGATCGCCCTGCTCGCTGAAAAGGCACCTCAACCTGATCTCTAGACTGAGCCCAGGCTTGTGCTGCACCAACAACCCAAACCCCCGAAAGGGTACTTCATAGGAACCCCCTTAGGGGATCTATTTCGTAGATCCTTTTTGGGGGTCTGGGAATAAACCTCACTCTCTTCCACTGGTGGTCAGAAGCACGAAGCACCGCAGGATGATGCACATCTGGGCATGTGCCGTCTGCTAGAACTCCTGCAGGCTGAGGCACTGTGGTGGGACGGTGTGGTCGGCGAGCTCCTGGCACCACAATGGACAAGCAGAAACCTCAAGAAGCACAAGTTCAAAAAACCCAAGCATGGTCCCACCTTGCCGCCGAAGGCCAGCGACGCTCCCGGAATGGCCAATACGCGGTCCATGTGGGCCAAGAACTTCTCCTTAGTTTCCAGGCACCAACATCGCGAATTGAAGCGGCTCAGCCGAAATCGAAGACCTGATAGCTTCCCTATATAGGAGCAATTAGGGGACCCTAATATAGTACCCAAAGTAGTAGGATCCCTAGTAAAAGGGCCACAAAATAAGGTACCCCGAATTTCGGAAACCCCCATATGTTTGAAGGATGATATACACCCTGCCATTCCTAGTCGAGTTATTAAGGCAACAAATGTAGGCACAGCGACGTCCCATGAACGACCGGATGCTGAACCCACTGACGCTCCGGTGGAATGCAAGCGCTGGAATTGCTGAAAGAGCTGTCGGGGGAACTTTGGCAGGAACCTGCTATCTTGCACAGCCCCGAGCAGGAAGCCCTTCCAACAGAGCCCATGACAGGCCGAGTCTACCACGAAATTAAAGCGCAAGCTTGACTCCAACAAGACAACAATCATCGGCCGAGAGTGAACAAGGAGTTGCTATTGACTAATGAACTCTTAAGGCAAAAAGCGCCTACAGACCGTTCGAGGCGTTAGGGCTGTTGGGTCGTAGGCTTCAAGTGATAGCTTGAGCTTATAGAGTTTGCCGAACACAAAAGCTCAACATTAAAATGCAAAGGAAGTATATGTGAACAAGAACTCCATTCCGAGTTGCTGTGGGCCAGGTCAATACCGGGCAGTTCGTCAGCTCCTGGCACGTCTGGTCCAGAACGGCTTAGACTTAGTGGAGTTCGGTTTAGAGTTTATGGTAATCAACAAAACGGTATGGTGTTGTGCTTATACAGAGGTTCAGCAACTCCTGGACGGAAACTTACCACGCAGCCCTCTGCTTTCCCTCCGGGACATACTATGCTGGTACTAGAACATATTTGCGGAATATGGCCTGAACGAGATCACAATTCACAAGTGTTGTGCGGACCATACGACTACGTCATTTGGGCTACGCTTTAGCCTTGTTTCCAAAAACTAACGTCGACAACCAGTAGCAAACCATATAAAGCCCGTGTGGAGCCTTGTAACACCCTGTAGATAAGGGCCCATGATTCCAAAGGACCCTGAGCCCTGAATTAACTCGTAAACCCTGAAACCCTAAACTCCCAAATCGTAAACCTCAAAGCCCAAGCCCCCAAACCCTAAACCCTCAAAGTATTTCTTTGCTGCTCCTTCAAGCTTCGCTGGCCGGCGAGCCGCGCTAAGCGACCGACGATGTCAACCTCATGGATTTCAATATTTTGCTTTTTGTTTCACGGGTTTGGGTTTCAGGGTTCAGGTTTAGGCTACGGTTTAGGGTATGTTTGCTTTTTGTTTTACGGTTTGGGCTTCAGGGTTCAGGTTTAGGCTACGGTTTAGGGTATGTTTGCTTTTTCTTTTACGGGTTTGGGCTTCAGGGTTCAGGTCTAGGCTACGGTTTAGGGCTTGGAGCTTCAGGGTTTAAGTCCAAGGGTGTAGAAGGGATCTGAAAGGCTCGTCAACATAAACTAGGAACCACGAAACAAACCAGGAATGGCAGGATTAGCAAAGGCCCCTGATGAAAAGGGACCCCTCGCTTTCTGAACCCGCCACTTGTAACCTCGAAAATGGTTGAGCAACATTTGTGCGGTTGACAGAGTTCAGAGCTAGAGGGTCAAGTGGTGGTGAGCAGAGCTCTGTCAAGCAGTCCTGAATTCTCAGTGCGCAAGCTGCTCAGGCACTTCAACTGGCATTTCTCCCGCACACAGAGAAGGAAGAAGCATGGTGGCCACTTACATGCATACATTGGCCTGCCAGCAAAAGAAGCCATTGTAAGCCAGTACTTGTCAACATGGCCCCTGTGCAGCCCATACAAGATCATTTGATATCCCTCTCATGGGAGTCTTGGGTTAGGGTCCCGGGAGTTTCGCTTCGTGACCTTTCGAAACCCTTCTAGGCTCCTCTTCTAGTAATCCTTAGTAATCCTTGTAGCAACCCACCCCTTCATTAAACAAACACCAAAGAAATCCTTGTAGTAACCCCATAGAAACCCTTTAGCAACCCTTATCCCTAAACCCCCTATAGGCCTCACCAACAAAGCTCCGAGGGGGCTTGCATGGTCCATGCAGTTTCGACTCTCAGTTCTGTCGGCCCGACTTACTACGAAAATGCTCGACGTTCTTGCCACTCCAGTGCATCTGATTTCATCCGCTTGCAGTTTTGGTGGCGTTTCTCACGGCGGCACGGTCCGCAGCAATTGTTCGTGGCTTGGTTTACTTGTTTCTGCTGAGGCACATCTGGCTTCGTCCAGTTCCTTGCAATCAGGGGAGACTAGCCACCATCACGTCGAGAACCCGCATTCTGAAGAATACGTCCCTTTGGAAGTGAGCACAAACAAAGTCAATGGAATCCCGCGACCACGAAACCGTTCCGGTAGACACTAGCACAGTCAAGCGAATGTTTTTGTCACAAAGAACGGCCCCCCTCTATACATCAATAGTCTTGAGAACACAGAACAGCATTCGCATGCGTATGTATGCGTGTACGTACGCCAATGCTTATGCACCAACCTACATATATATATATATATATACATACACCTCATATATGCATGCATCGATGCATAGATACTGCATAGATGCATTCGTGCAGGTATGCCTGCCTGCCTTCCTACCCACACCGGCCGGCCACCCTACCCCCTACCCGCCCACCGAGCTTCCTTCTGCCCACCCACTGGCGATCCCACCCACCCAGCCTGCCACTACATGAATAGACATGCAGCAGGCAGGCATGGTCGGGCTGATTCATTCATTCCGTGCTGCCGTCCTTGCAATATATATATATATATATAT